TAAAATCTTTATTGAAGTCGCGCGGCACAAAAAATATGGGAAAATTTCGCAATGCCATAAGCAGTTTTAGCAGTTTCCGAGACCAAATTCTCTCATAGAAGAAAAAAGAAAGGCCATAAAAAGCTAAGTCAACAAAGTTGGAGCGGGATTAGTAGTTATTTGCACAAGTTTAAAAATTAAACAAACACAACACCTGCTGCCAGCAAGTAGCAAGCAGCAAGCAGCAGGCAGCAGGTAGCATGGAATGGAAACATGGAACATGTAGCAACCCAAGCAAGCCAAACCTGTCCACATCCGAGTCAAGTCATGACCACGTAAAGGTAACCATGTTTTTGCACAAAAGCGTCTTTTAATGGACGCGCAAATGCAATTAAAAGCAGTTTCACTTTTGCAATTTAAGCTACGCGATTAAATAAATTGCTCCGAGCACAGGAGCACATGACATTCGGCAAAAGCAAGGACTAGGCGAACCGTACAATCAGGCAAACAAACGCGTTCCAGATTCGAGATAGCAGCACTTCGAAGCTGCTGAAGCGCGAGCTGCAATTGTGGGATTCAGTGGCCATTATGAGTTCTACACTCAAACGCTAAGCGGTACGTTTGACAAAAATTGTGATGCGAAAAGAAATTAAAATAAAATTTGTATCTCAAATATATTTATAATTTTGTATGGAGTGGAGGAGAGCGCGAGTTTCTCTCCCGGAGGGAGGGAGAGGGAAAGTTATCTGGGAATAACAAACAAAAAAAGACGATGTTAATCTCGTTTATGTGTGGTCGAAAGCGGCTTTTATAAATGAAAAAGGTGAAAAATTTCCCGCAGGACTCACCGGCAAAAATTGCACAGTCATGCATGTTATTGCCGTCGCTGCTTCACATTCGCATTCACATTCATTTTTATTTTTGGTACTTTATTTTTATTTTTTAACCTTTATTTTTCTTCATATTGTTATGTTTCATTTTTCCATTTTTCCACCTATTTTTTTCTCTTTTTTTTTTTGCATAATTCGGCATTTTTTCTTCACTCGTTTGAAGTTTGCAGTGTTACAGGCTGGCACATCGCGCTGGGCCATGCATGAGGCTCTGCTTTAACGACAATTGCCAAAAATTTCAATTTTAATATTAAGTGTGCTTATGTCTGTCCTTGGTCCTCGCTACTAGGAACTCGGTACGCTTATGCCATTAAAGTCCCAATAAAAAATATAGGAAAACAACAACAACAACAACAGCAACAACACTACCACAGCAGGTAAAGTCAAAACAACAACAACTAAAAAGTGCTCATACATTCGTTTTAACAGAAAATGACGTGTTTTCACATATTTTTTAACTATGCACGAGCCTTAGTCCATATTCATATGGAACTGGTATATTGGAAGCGAATCGTTAAACGACCAATGTTGCAGTTCCCTGGCATATTCATGATTTATGAATGAGCAGCAAGGTAGAAGTCTTCCTTTTAATTTTTTCTGATTCCTTTTGTTGTTGTCGTTAACGTTGTCGTTGTCGTTGTCGTAGCCATTGCTTTTAGTGTTGTTGCTGTTCTTGGTGTTGTTGTTGCTGTTCAATTTTTACATTTTTTCTTTTATCCTTTTTGCATTTCATTTGATACAAACAACGTCGTCGTCGTCGTCGTACTTCTTCTTTTTACCTTGGATCGATAGAATGCAATTACGGAAAATTTGCGAGTGGGTCAAAGTTAGCATATATATTTGTGCACATGGCCATGCCATATCTTGCCGTTCCATTACAATTTTTAACTAAAAATGTAGTCTCGGAGAGGGGACACCATGGGGTGTGGGACGTGGCATAAAGTATCGTACAACTATAATACCCTTTGATTAACGATGCTCATTTTATTGACTTAAGTTTGGCGAGTCGGACGGCCTGCAGCAAGCCATATACAAATATATATGAAACTAGGCGGACAACGCCGAGTGAAGCAGCATGGACGCATACTCAGTGCACTGTACACTGTACAGGTTTACAGGTTTATTTTGCTGGGAATTATTGGTAATTTAATACGCTTTGTGCCGTAAGCCGACCACCTGTCCATCTACGCAACATTCATTGTTCAAGTAATTTGCGAAATGATGACTTGCCGAGGAATAATTTATGAGTTCATATGCTCGAAAGGACAAGAACGTAGACAAAGAAGGGTATGAAGAGTATTGGAAAATTAAAAGCCTCAATACAAATTTCAGTATAGTAAAGCATTTACCTTAAATTACGTTAACTGCAATTACTTGTTTCCACATATTTAAAAAGTCATAGTGTATGCAAAACTTGATTGACATAAAAGTTGCTTTAGAATACATTTTCTATCTTGTAGATACAAACAACTGAAAAGTGATTATTTTAGTAGAACTTATTGAATAATTAATGTGAAAATAATAAATGCATGTGACCGATTTTCATTGAAGAAGCTTGTGTTCTTCAATGTCTGAACTTCAATACGATTAATATCTTTGTGTTGAAGGACTAAATAAATTAGTCAAAGCATTTTAATAAAATATAATATGATATGAGTTCACTTTCGCCATACTATATATTTACTTTTGTAAGACAATACATTATGTTTAAATTGATTAAAGCAATGGTGGACAATCTAGTTTTGAAGCCCAAACTGAAGCCATCTTTTACCAAATTTTATACACTATATTAAAAATTCAGTTTATATAAGGTCTCTGCAGTATAGTAACAATGTCACAGTGCCCACTTCAAACATTTATCCCTAGTCAGGCACACGATTGAAGTATTAAATTCAAAATTGATATACCAATTTCTAACATAGTAGAATTAAACATTTAACAGATTGCACATTTTTTGGTGTGTAAATATATAAGTAAATAACGCAAAAAGTAAAATTTTATATTAATAATTATTTATTTATCATATAATTTAATATGTCAATTCTGCAAGACAATAGGGAGCAATATTTACTTTGTGAATCAGTACAAACCAGTTTCAGTCTCAGTACAAATCACTTTGCTCTTTATCACGTAGTCATTGCTAATCTCTGTGATTCAGCCACCGAGATTTTAATTAAAGACTATGTTATCTCAATAAACTAATAACTCTTATTTCAATCCAGTTTCACGCTCCACTATAGATTCATACACTATTTTTAGTAGGTGCATAGGAACAATAGTGCTAGATCAAATGCCGTTTTTATTTCCGTGTCTATATCGATTAAATTTTTGATTGATCTCATCTTAAAGACAAGTTATCTTCTGGTAATAACAGCAAACCGCTAGCTAGAAATGTTAGCATGAAGTGGTTTAAAATGTCTAAAGTTTATGATCAATAGTTAAGTTAGCGACCGAAAAGACTCTCACATTATCTCTAACTTTAAACTTAAACCAGCAAGTGCTTCATTCTCATGAAGGCCAAAGGCCAGTAAGCCAGTAACTATAGAAGGTACTTAAATATATGATAACGTATCACATACCAGCAAATGAAATATTAGCTAAAGAGTATTGCGGATAATTATATATATTAAGCACTTAAATCACCTATCTTTTGTGTTTCTTTTTAAAAAATGGACTAAATTGTTTTATTCGTGTTTAAAATGTTTATTGTAAACAATCTGGTTATTAAGTAATAATTACTTATTTGGCTTTTCAAGTTTACTTGGTATTAAGCCTCCATCCATGTCTCTATAAACAAGCACCCTCCTGAAGCTTCGTATTTGTTATCAGTCAATGATTGCCATGCATTTTAGTATTTTATGTTCGTGGAAAAGGTGCTATTACCTGCTATCACCTTTAGAATCATTTGACTGTCAATATAGACATTAATTTTTATGTTGAATAGAGTACATCTAGAGTATATTTTCACTATTTCTTAAGCACAAAAGCTCCAACTTGAAGGATATAGCCTGACATAAAAATTACTTTGTAGTCGTTTCAGATAATTCCCCGTATATCTGTCGTCAGTGGTACAAAAATATAAATTGTATGAATAAATTATAGTGTTTCTTATTAGGAATGCAAAGAACGAAAGACACCTTTATCTTATAGATAAATTTTTTTCCTATTATGTATATAAAACGCCAAGTCTTTATGTGTTCCAATTGTAAAAGTATATATACCATTAATTATCTTATGCCTATCATAAACTTTTATTATTACAAAAACTTTTGATATAAATTTATTTTTAATTAAAATATTTTTCAAGCAATAATATATAGGAGTGTATATTAAAAAGATGCAATAAAGTGCCTGAAATGCTTAGGCGAAATTAAAAAATTTTTCATATGCAAATAAACATCTTATATAATACATAAAATCCCAATTCCTTTATGTTAAATATAAATTTAACAGGGAAATGCACAAATTTAATAAGAAAATCTTAAACAAGAAAATGTCAGCATTTTCCTTCCAAGAAGGATATTCTTCACATATTCATTAAGTCTCATTGTTTCCTTCCACCCAAAACAATAAGTTGCATTTCCTTAATACCTCACGTTCGTTTTGATTTCCATTTAGAGTTGCTAAATAATTCAACTGAAGTAAAGCAGATTTTGCAAAACTGTTTTAGGACCAGCCAGGATCACAAAATCTTGAAATCAATTACTTAGCCTTGCATTTTACTGGTTCCTGCAAATGCCAATAGGCAAAGTTTCTAAATCTCTGTTGGCCAAGTTTAGATGTCGAAAGTATGGTTACTGTGCTTTGTGGCCAGTAATTTTGCAGAATTTTGATTCATGTCCATTGCCTGCAGCATTTCTACATTGCTTCATTATTATAAGAAATTCATAACTGCTTTTGGCTTTGTGGTCAGTTGTGTACAGAAACAAACTCTGGACACTGCTGATGCACAAGCATTGAGGTCACACCACCTCAAAACCACACTCTATAACAGCGCTACTTTGAAAGAGATTCTTGAAAAATGCTAGCGAATCAAATTTCTACTATGAACTGTTCTAGCGCCCTCTTACGGCGCTCATCAAACACAAATTTAATTTATTAATTTTTGCCTTTTCCGACTTTTCTTTGCAGGTTTTGGTTTCGTTACATTTCAAAGCGAGGATGTGGTAGACAAAGTTTGTGAAATTCATTTCCATGAAATAAATAACAAAATGGTAAGTTTGAGATATTCAGATTTTGAGATTTTCAGATTTTCAGACTGATGACTGTAGTTCAGACGCTCTTCACTGCAGACAACTTATTTGGACTTTTCTATTTTAATCGCTGCTTTCTCCGTTTGCTTTATTTTTCTTTATTTTAACTATTTTTCTTTACAGGTTGAATGCAAGAAGGCGCAGCCTAAGGAGGTTATGCTACCAGCCAATTTAGCAAAAACGCGTGCAGCTGGTCGATCCGCTTACGGTGAGTTGGTAGTTTGGGGGAGTAACAATAATAGCGGTGGTGCCATCAGTAGTAGTATTGCCACGAGCGCACACACTGGCGCCACCCATCACTTTTCACATCACTCACATCATGCAAACGTATTTGGTAGCGCTACTCCAAGTGGTAGCCAAGCTAACACCACATCCATACGCTATACACCATATCCGCTACCAACACATTTCTCAGCGGCCGCTGCAGCAGCAGCAGCTGTTGCTGCCAATCAACAACAGCAACAACAGCAGCAACAGCATAACATTGCCACTGCTGTGGCGGCTGCAGCTGCTGGCGCTACACCCACACACACCATAATACCGCTCGCAGCAGCAACCACTCCCGCCGCTACCGGCGCTTCTCTCTTGCAGTACGCTGCAGCTGCTGCAGCCACTAATCCACAAACAGCTGCTACACTATATGATGCAGCAGCTATGGTCGGCTACAAGCGTTTACTGGCTGCAGCAGCTATCAATCAGTTACGTCCGCCAAATACAGCTGGTGCGTTGGCTGCCGCTGCGGCCGCCGCACCTACTGCTCAGGCTCACATTAGACCCACTGCAGCGCTCGCCTATCCATTGAGCGACTTGCTATCGGTGCCCGGACTCGATATGCCCACTGCAACGTTGTATCAGCTTCCCGGCACAAATACACTTGGCATCTGACCGCAAACAGCGGTTATAACACAACTGCCACGCCCTCAATAAACCATAAATATAGCAAATATTAATTATTGCTCGCACACGTACACACGTACACACATAACACAACTAACACTCAGACACACACACCCATACAATAACACGTTTCAATCAAAAATGGCGGCTCGCCGATTGTATTAAGCGTATTTGTTCGTATTTAATCCCTCTGCATTTATCGAAAGCATTAAAATTTAATTTAGGAATAATTTTTAATTACTAAGTAATTACGATGATGTTAATTAAGATAATAGAGAATTAGCCAAAGTCTTAGCAAAACTAAGAAGTTATTTTTTAATTGTTTAAAGCTAAATTAATTAAAAGTTGAAAAATGATAATGAACAGATACCTTAGGTTTGTCAGTAGACGTACATGAAGAAGCAAACAAATCGCTGGTTTTACAGTTTAAAGGACACTTTAGATATATTTTAACGTTATATTTGCCATCATGAGATATTTTTCACATTTTTTATATTTTTCTGCAAAACAAAGAAATAAAGAAAAATATAAATTCTTTATAAAAAGTTGTTAACAATAACAAAAAAATTACCATAGACTAAAATTTAAATATTGTCCATACGATATGTATATATTATATACGTTTTATCACACCTGAGCCATTATATTTCCTGGTAATATATACATGTTAATTTCGATTTTTTAAATAAATAATCTAATTGAAAGTTAACAGAGTGGAAGTTGAAATTCCAACTCAAAAAAAAAAATTAAAAATTTTAGTTTATGGAATCCCAGTGATCTTTTGTAGTCCTCGCTGTAAAGCCGGCTTTCATATCAATTTAAAAAAAAACATCCTAATTTTATATGAGGGTTAGCCTATATCATAGTTTTTAATTTTCATTTAGTTTAAGTTTTTTGTACAATTTGAAGTGTAAAACAAAAATCCTAGGGGCTTAGTAGCCGAAGCTCTTTCGAAAGTAAATATTAAAATTACAAAAGTGAAATTAACATTGACTATTTAACAAATTTGTAGTATGAAGTATTTATTAATGAAACTATTATTAAACTAGCAGTGTAGCGATGCTCTCTAATATTGTCATTGAAATACATATTTACTTAGCATTATGAATGTAGCATTAAATTCAACAAAATATTATACAAATATAGCTGACGGCTCGGTTGCCATGTCGAGATATTCCTGAACTGAGTGATTAAATACCGGCATTACGTTCTGAAATTTAATTGAATTTAATTTATTAATGAAACATAAAATTTAATTATTAGAAAATGAATATTTTCACAATATTATTTGATTTGCATATTTCGATATATAAAACCTCATTCAGTTCTGGATTTCAATTCATGGGTTAGCCGAGCCTTTTAATAATTAAGATATTTAGCGAAACTAATTGTAATTAATTTTTTTAATATATAAACGAAATGAATGTTCAATTCTATTAGAAGTACGTGTAAGTAATATATATATATATACATATATAATAGGTTAGAAGTTGTATGAATAACTTTAATTTTCCACAGACGTTATTTAATTGTGAGTGAGGTACGATATCGGTTGAAGGACCTAAATAATATTATTTTAAGTAAGATGTATAAATATTATGAAAATAAATCACTACTCATACTTAACTATATCCAAATTTAAGCATTTGATTGCTGTACTCTTTGATTCACTCGACAATGCACCAAACATTAACTTAATGATTGCTTACATCAATGTTTTGGGCTGGTTCTAAAATATGTAATCCTCTACCCAAAAATAATAGGAATGTGGTCTTTTTAAATAATTGAAAATGGTTCAATCCTTCCATTCTACCTAAGTTCATATTAAAAAAGTGAATAAAGTATTTTTTTTTCTATTATACACCTAAAAATAATAAACTAAAGCTTAAATATCTATAATAACATTCATAGAACAATGAAGCCAAAATTATTATTTTTGTCTCAATATCTTATTTTTAATCGCAAACAATTTTAACCATTTAATGCTTAACTTAAAAATGACTTTATTTAGTTGTACAATTATTTATAAAAGATCCTATCAACAATAACTGCATTAGGAAACAGGGTTCTAAAAGAGAGTTTTATCGAAACATATTCAAAAATACGTTTGTGGTCTTATAACGACTTCGTATGTGATCGTAGCACTTACATTGTCAAGTTCAACTTTCGACTTATTGCTCTAATCTCACTTTCTTACTCTTGTTGAGAAAATTAATTGTGTTTCTGGTACTTACTAACACAATTAATTGCCTTATGTGTTCTATATGTCCTTATTAGGAGAGGTGAGCGGCTTTTGATCATTTGAAAAAATGAGTAGTTCTGGGGTCAATTTTATGTTTTTCCAAGAATTTGTTGTGGTCAAGAAATGTATATTCATATGTTCATAGATCTATTTGGATAACAACAACAAGAACCGCAGTCGCTAAAATAAGGCCATATTTTTTTTTATTCAATTACTTGAAGTTGAAGTTAGTGCTCAAAACGGTGATTAATGAATCCCAAAAATCTTGAGAATGTTTAGATTAGAGAATGAAAGATTTAAAATCTGTAAGGTTCACCAAGTCTTTCATTAAATATTTATATTATAATAGAGATCAAATTTTTATTATTTATTTATTGTCTGAGGACAGAATGTATAAAATAGAAGATTTTACATAAAAATTATAGATTATAATAGATTTTTGCAGTTACATACATCTAAAAAAAACCATAGTATTGAATTGTGAAATTTGTCGAAAAACTCAAGATTGTAACAAAACTCTTCTTCAAACTCACTTCTTACATGTACTTTTGTTACACTCTGACTCTCTCTCACCAACAAACCCCTATAAAACTAATCTTTTAAAATACTTCTATCTTGTTAGTTCCCATTACTATATTGCATTCATAACAAGTTCCAATTAAATGTATCTGCTTATCACTTGCTTTATTGTGATCTTAGTAAAAGATTTAGATTTTTCAAATAATTAATGTCATAAATACAAATACTTTTTTTGATATTGAAATAATTTAGAGTTATAGAAATATGATAATATCTTATTAATACAATTATTTTATATTTAATATATTTATTAAATAAAAATTTAGTTAAAATTTTATAAAGAGCTATTTTCGAACAGTAGTGAACTACAACTACAAAAATTTTATTTTTTTTTATATTATTTTAATTAATGGAATTTTTGGCCGACCATACAGCTGAAGAACCATACCCATCAGCAATGGTCTTGGAAATAATTCTTGTATTTAATTATTCGTAAATAATTATTTTTGAGACTGCAAGTACCAGGTATCGAACTCGGGTCCTGCCAAATGTGAAGCTTAGAAGCACCGCACTTTAACCAACTGATCCAAAGCCGTACTTGACTTTTTTGTTCGCATATTTTTCTGGAGTTTTGTTACTTTTGCTGTGAAAGTTTTTATTAACAATTTTTACTTGCTGTGTTTATATTAGAACGAAATCATACACCAGCTGTAGAATAATTGAATTAATTAATTAATTGTATTTTTATTTTTAATTGTTAAATTTCAATAGAATTTTATAAAATATTTTTATTAAGCCCACATCTATATATTTTTATCAAACAGTAGACTTCATAATATTAACATGAAATATTGCGGATATATAGATATATGTATATACTATTCAATCTTTTTATCCCTTCGTCCTTCGATATGAAATTCATACCAAACTCACACAAATTAATGCAAAATTTTAATTTCAAAGTTCCGAAATGATTTGCTGTGGAAAATTAAAGCTAAAAATTTTACATTAATCATTTTGTTTTATTATTAGAGAAAACAAATTCAAATGATTTATTACAATATAACGAATATTTAATCCAACAATTATTCAAATCTCATACAGAAGTAACATTATTATGCTAATTGAAATGGAATATCTACACAAAAACAAAAACAAAAACCAAAAAAAAAAAAAAAATACTGTAAAATTGTTGTAAAAAGCAATAGCGAAGTTATACTTTTATTACTATATATAATGTAATGTAAATGTAAAAAGTATATAAAAACATATACGTGAATGTCAAAAAATTCGAAATAAATAGCTGATTAAATTAGTTTTAAGTCGAACGAAGTAAACAAAAAACGCTCAAATGAGACCAGCAACAAACAATAAAGGATAACAGCGATTTCCGCAAGGATTAAAAACACTTTAGCGCACAAAACTATTGAAAATAATTGAATTAAACTAATTTAATTTAAAATCAATTTTTATTTGTAGTTTAGCATTTATTTGGAATTATTCATTTCATTTTTCTTTAATTATTCAATTACTCAATTATTCAATTATTGAATTATTATTATTATTGTTTAAATTAAAATTAGTTGTACTAGCAAATCGCTTGAGCTCTGTGTGCCGTGCGCCACTGGGTTTCTTGCTAGAAGAAGTCTCAGTTAGTACCGCCTCACCTCAAGCACGGCTCCTAGCCAATTCATTATTAGCCATATAATAAGAGCCTTAATGTGTGTTTAGTATTTACTGTACTTATGCATTTAGTGCATATTTAGTTTTATCTCTAACATTTTATCTTATATCTTTAACTCAATAATTTGATACTAATCAATAGCTGCACTAGAAAGAAGATAACAAACATGTTTCCTACATGTTACATGTTATATCTTACAATAATAGCAAATAACAATTACAAATAATAATTACAAGAGATTAGAGTTTACAAAATTTATTTACAATTAGTTACAAAGTAGTCATACAAAATAATCGTCTTAAATGTCAATTTGTCTACATTCATATGAAATTATTAGATACTAAATATTTAACTTCAATATTATCTTAGCAATAAGACCGAACAATAATATGTGTATGTATGTATGTATGTATGTATGTATTCGTTACAGATGTGCTCGCAAAAGCACAATTTAGCAATTTATTTTCAATTCCACACATAAATCTTATTAGAAAATTAAATCAATATTTAGATACAATTTTTTTTCTACATTTACTTATATATATATATATTTAGATACAATATATTTCTAACACAAAAAGAGATTTAGTCTCTTTTGACTTATACCAAATATAGATTTGTATTCATTCAACATTTTTATTAGTTTTTTTTTATATATAGTAAATAATTTTTTAAGAATAATATTAATTTAATATATTTTTTTTCTATTTTTCCTCCTATTTTCTTCTCACTTTTTCAAATAGATAACATCATGTGGGGTCTGGGGACACTACCAGATGGTGAGTTTAAATAATCTTCTATTTATATAAGAGTATGTTGTATATTTTAAGTGGAATAGCTATGTCTCTGTTATCATATCATTAGTTATTAATTAAAAGCAAAATAGACTTTTTTTGAACTTAAAAATAATTTACAAGTTAAATTAAAAAATTAAAATAAATACGATACAGATTAACACATCTGAATTCTGTGTTTCTCAAACCAAAAAGTGCTATTAACCGTAAAAATATTCGTTACCTATTGCAAGGTTCCGTACCAATAACCTGAAACCTATGGTGGACATAAAAAATAATCAATCTGTTTTATAAGATTCAGATTGCAATACTAATATTTTCCAAAACATAAAATCCTTAAATATAAAATATTAAGATCCATTGTTGCAGCAATGTTGGGCTTTTTAAATTGTCTCCACCAACACTGAAGGAAAAACGACATTTTAAATTTAAGCAAAAAAATCTTAATTTAACTCAGTAACAACTATAATCTGTTCAAGCTTATTTTAAGATTATTATGCACAATAATGATCAGAGTAGCATCACAGGAATGTATAAACCTTCTGATATCAGAAGTGAACAATTTTAAGACTCCAATCATTATCAGGGACAGCACCGACACTAGTAAACAAATTGAATCTCTATAAAATTTCATTCTTGCAGGTAACCTGATGATCACTAGTAGAAACGATTAAGCAACGTTCTTCACCTCAAATAGAAATCAAACTCTTGATATTACTTTTATCAGAGCATCGATTTAAAATGCTTTTTTAACATATTATAGGATCTTAATTACTTACCAAGATCTATTTTCTTACCTATTTTCTTACTCATAAACATGTGGAGATGACAGAAAATCTTAAAATATCAAATCATCTCACTCTTAAAGTCGATTTAAAAATTAAAATAAAAGAACTATACTTCTCTGTGTGTATATAAGGCCAATTTATCGAAGTTGGTAAATAGGCAACTAGGCAATGTAACTAAATTAAACTGACGATTTTGAATAGAGTTGAGTTTAGAGCAAACGGAAAAAATATGGCGTATCTTTGGAACTCTACGAAACATATGGAGATCCAAACACGTCTAATACTAGATTTATTTGATTCAGCTCAAATATGAAGTCTGCACTTTTAATTTCTATCTAAAGAATATTCGGTATTTACAATTTGAACAACGCATATAAAAGTTATAACTATATTATTCTCTTTTAAGTCAGTAACACTCTAGCGTCATATAAGATTTGAATGAATAGAGAATATAATCTATTAGTCAGTGTGTTTACATTATCTGTTGCTGCAAATTTGACGTAGTCGTCCATAATTTTTTTTTTTCTTTAACCTAAAATAACGTCTTCGAAGAAAGTTTATGAAGCCTATTGCGCTCACAAAACAAAATTTACTTAAGAACGATTGGGTCAAGTGCTACCATAAAAGTTTTGTTAGGCGATGATGGTATTTTACACAGATAGAGAGTTAAGTGTCAATGGCAGCTAATTTTACTTCGTCACTAGGTTGGGTTAGGTTAATGTGACAGCCTTATACACCAAAGACCCTAGAAAGAAGCCACTTACCTATAATACTATAGAGAAACTGTGAAACGCGTTAGATGTTGTAGAAGTCCTAACGTTGGATTAGAGTGGCAGCTTTGTACACCAAAAACCCTTAGCAGTAGTCAGTCCTATTTTGATATCACAAAAAAACCTATAAAACGCTATAACTGACTGCATTAGTTTGGAATAGAGGTACTTTTAGATACCTTCGTGATTTCTTTAAGATAGTAAATACTATTTAATTTTCTCTTTCTCGTGTCATGTACTTACTAATTTAAATGTATTTAAGTATATAATATATACTGATACACTTTTATATAGTTTTTCTAATCAACTAATTGTATTTTCAGGATTTCCTGCTGCTGCTTATGCTGCATATGCAGCTGGACGCGGTTATTCGGGATATCCAAGTTTTGGATTACCATATCCAACTGGTAAGTGATTGTTTTTTATTGAATTCATGCTGTTTCATTAGTAAACTATATGATAAGTAAAAATGTAAAATTGTGAAGTTAAAAATCTTGATTTAGTTTGTGTCACTTTTGGCTAACAAATTCTATTGAAAAGTTCGTTCTAACAATTAACAAAACGAGACTTCGCACTGAATGTCTCTCTACAAATAGACATGGAAATGAGTAGTCAGAATAAAGTATACGTAAATAGTTACTGAATTTTCTATGTGGTTATTTAGGAAATCTACACATAATTATTTTGTACTCATTCAAAAACTTTAAAGTATCTCAACTCATACCGCACAGTAGTGAACTTAGGCTGCAAGCGTTTTGATATGACGAAATATTGTGCAATAATCATGACACCTCCTGCTCCGGGGCTATTCTCATCGACCTAACTAAGCTCACTCCAACTTATGTTCACATGCGTGTTTAGTGTTTAGTGTTTACACAAGGCCTTGATTAAAGCGTTTATTAATTAACAAATATTGATTGAAATTTATTTATTTAAACAATTTAAATTAAGTTTTCTTTTCATCACATTTTGGCGCCTGCATACACGATTTAATTGTTGAAAAACCTTTGTTTCTGTTTGGTTCTGTTTATTTACTCTGCTTATTTGGTTAGTCAACTAATAAAAAATGTATTTCAAATTTTTCAACACAATTTGCTTAGTTTTATTCACTGTTTTCCTTTTTTTAAATTTTTTCTTTTTGTTTAAATTTGTTTTTTTTTTTTTAATAATTTCGTTACAAAATGTACTTTTTAATTTTTTCTCTTTATTGCTTTTTTAACAGCTGGTGTGATGAGTGTAGTTCCGGATAACAGAATTCTAATCGGCGATTTTATGATGGCACCGACCACAACTTCCACTTAAGTGGCGGATACGGGCACAGCTTCCATTGAACAAAATTATTCGCATGAAGGAACAAAGAAAAATAATTACTATTTTAGCCTACGTTATCATAAGATTAATTAATTTATTACTTTTTTATCTTTTGTACAAAGCACTTGCGATTTATATTTGTTAATTGACTTTATCACACTCTCCTTCAATGTAAAGTTCTCTACATTCATGTTAAGCCAATCTAAGCTCATGTAAGTCGTTAAGTCCAATTGACTTTAAATAGCTCATGTAATATTGCTAATAATAACAATTGGATACAGTTGTTTAAATAGTCTTGCTAATAATTCTCATTGAGTATAGTTAGCTCACATAGTCACTCAATCCTTAACTACAGGTAGCTCCTGTATTGTTACTAAGAATTGTGTGTAGTTACTAGATATGCTATATGTAACTTAAATTATTTCCTTGAGAACATTTGGTTCATGAGTTTTGCTAATAATTCTCATTGTGTATAGTTAGTTTACATAGTCAGTCAATCCTTAACTACAGGTAGCTCCTGTATTATTGCTAAGAATTGTCACATTGAATATTTATAATTACCACAATGTATTATTTCCTTGAGAACATTTGGTTCATGAGTTTTGCTAATAATTCTCATTGAGTATAGTTAGCTCATGCAGTAACTAAATCATTGAATTTAGTAAATAACGCATAATTGCTTATAACTTCCATTGGATATAGTTGGCTTGTAAAATGTTGCTAATAATTCTCACTTAATATAGTTGTTAGATTGTACGGTTACATGTGAGCAAAATATAGGCAGTACTATGGTGTGAATTTTACAATTTTAACACGGATTCACTTTTATTTTTTAAGAAGGTGCAAAAAGACGCTGTTCAAAATCTAAAAATTATTTGTTGTCTTGTGTTGTCTTGAAAAGTTTGAAGGAAAAATTTATTTTAGCATTTATGTAAGAATTGATCAATCCATTAGCACGCAATATATATATATAATTATGACATATAATAAATATTTTAATAATTAAAATTAAATAAACTTTAAATAGAACAGCATTCGCATACTGTCCGTTTTTATACTGGCTTCTAAATGTTAGGAACATTCATATGAATTCAAATTTTAATTAAGTGAAATTTGTAGAAATACCAGAAACAAAAAGTCGGAGCACTTTGTAGTGCAGAATTTTGCTATTAATTAATTTTTATTTATTTATATATTTCTTTTTTTAAATTTTAAAAAATTTGCAACCAAACTCATAGTCATCTCCAATGTAAATTATTTACTTTAGTGTAAACTGTTGAGATAGTTTTTCAAAATCATTCGTTGTCGTTTATTTACTGTAAGTATAAGTTTTTTCTTTGTACATTTAATTATTTGTGAGAAACTCATTAAATAGCTCTTTTTTCAAAAATGTTAAATCAGTTCACAGCAAATGTTATTTCCAATATACAATATATTAAAAGAGTATCAACTTCATATTATATTAAAATTTACTACATTTCTTCAATTTACTATTCTATATAAATTTATTGAAGTGGTTAACTAAACGAGGTGAGAATTATAATTATGATAAAAAAATGTGTTTAGAATATGAAAAAATTCATAATTGTTTTGAGGTTTTATAAAATATATAAAATTTAAAGGTCATTGTCTTTCAAAAAGCAGATTAGCTAGTAGTCGGTACATTTCTGGTCTAGTAGAATTCTATGTATAAAAAAAACAGCACTGCATGGTAATTATTTTATCTACTTCACTTCTAAGAGTGACATATGTGTTATTACAAAAAGACTGATAAATGTTTTTACTAATCAAAATTTATAGAACATTATTAAGTAATACTATATGAGCTAAAATTGATTAATACGTATGGAAAGAACTATATACTCATAGTTCAACATAAAGATCTATTCCATATTAGTTCAGAATCCTCTTACATGCGTTATACTTATAAGTTTTTTTTTTCCATAAATACAATGTTGAATCATTTTAATAAATTAATTTTAATAAAATTAATTTCAATAAATTTAATTTTAATAAATAAAATAAAAATGAACAAATTGTGAAAAAAAACTGATGCAAATAATTGTTTTATTTAAATTCGGCACAAAAAATTTCGTCATATCAACGCTTGAAAATCGTTTCATTTAGCACATGAAGCATTTGTAAATAATTAATATTTGCAGATAAAAGTATGTATTTACTTAATGATAAATTATTGAAATTCGAATGATTGACCGATTGATTGACTGATTGATTTTGCATAATTTGTGCTTGTGTATAATTTATAGGCTTAACAATATGTGGAATCGGTAGAAGTTTTGGTACGTGTAGTACGAATGCAGGCAGAAGGCCCGGTGCTGGCAGTGGTGCCAGCACCCAGCCATCGGCATACCAACATCAGGCACTGACCTTACCGCTTGCCACGGCTTTAACACGCACAGCAGCTATCAAATCACAATTTCTTGGAAACATCAATTTTTAACTCAAATCAAAAACACAAAAAGATAAAATGCATGCAAGTAAATTAATGCGACCCGCGATCTTTCGCTAGACGCCACTAGAGACGCATTAGTAGTTCAGGACGAACTAAACGAGCTAAAATACAGAAAAAAAAAACAGAAAAAAACGAAGAAATATTTTCAAATTGACACGCATAAAAGTTTTGATAAAGTTTTTTACCAAAAAAAAATAAGTTATAAAAAACAAATTTCAGTTTAAGTACCAAAAATAGTAAAACTTTGTTCATAATTGACTTTTAAATACATACATACATATACGTATTTACTCGCAACTTGTAGTAGCGATAATAGCTCGTATAGATACAATATTGCAGTCGGCAGTCGGCAGCTGGCAGCTGGCAACATGAGCAAATCTGCAACTCCAAATTATAAGTGCAAGAGCATACCTAACATATAAGACATAATAAATTTCCTATTCGAAAAAGTATCCTCCCTGTAAATTTACAAGGAACTGCGCTTCCAGTTTGCCAGCTGCGTGTACTTCGATTCGTACTCGTACTCGTACTTTTGTAGTTTCCAATTTGTCAAAACCTTAGAATTGAGCATTCATTGCCTCCTATACACCCTTACTAGTTACTAGTTTCTAGTTTATATGTACTCGTAACTGTATTTAATCAATGTCTAGCCACGTTTTTCTTATATACCCATTTGTTATCTTATATATCTAAAGTATATAGTTACTAGCATATAATATTTGAACTTTATCTTATATACTCGTACTAAGTAACAGTAAAAACTTAGAGTTGAAGTGTTTCTAGTACACAAAAACTACCACTCACAGCATTCGTACTAAACGTTTTATAAGTACTCGTATTCGTAGAATTGCATTATGTTAATATATAATATATAGAGATATAAAACTATAGTATAGCCGTAAAAACATATGTAAGTGTACGTGTAGATATTTTGATTTGATGTTTCCACAGATATTTAAATAATCCGATATAAAATTTTCATTATCAAATGGTTTAAGATTTTTTCAACCGATTTTATTTTCTTCTACTATAAATATATATTACAATATATAAATATTTTCTTCAAGGGCTTTTCTTCTTCTTCAAGGTATAAATATTTATATCAACATAAAGAATTTGTTTAGATCGCAGTTCGTCGGTACCTTTTTCAGCTACGACAGGATATTGACATTAACCTATCCCATAAACCATTACCATTACCTTGACACAATAATGTTCATATAAAAATATTTAATATAAAAAAAAAATATTATAAATACTATTATGTCAAAAATATCTCTTTCAATGTAATATAAACAAACATGAAACTTTGTGAAGTTGTGTTACAGAAGAGAAGTTTAAATCGATGTAATCGCAGTTATTACACACCAGACTTAAAAACTCACAAGGACACTGAAGCAATGCGACCTAAACAGATCCTTCATTTTAAAACGCCAACTGATCGGAAAAAATTCTATTTGCTTCATAAATGTATTTTATGGCAAAATTTCTTTTTAAATAACAACTGGATTTAAAGCTCTTTCCTCAGTAATCGTCGACTGCCCCATTCAGTGTGATAAGAAATCTGATTCTCTTTGAAGACGGAAAAGATATTTTGTTATGTGAATATCATATACTTATAAAATTCCTATTATAATTGTAAAGTAAAATCAACTTCTTAAAGATTCAGCTATATATTATTTTATATCGATAAAGATACATAAGTACAGACAGGGAGGTACTCATTCAAAGGTGATTTTTCTAGACTAATTTAAAGTTCATATGAAAACATTTACAGCCTTATTCATAAAAATTTCTTATAATGCTTTTCAAACACATTTTATATAAAAAGTATTTTAACTTTACAACAAACAAACTTTACAAATGTTTTATAAACGTTTGATAACTATAAAACAAATGTTAATAACATATCTGTTAAGAATGAACCAAGGCTATTTCATAATTCATTTCTTTTAATTTCGGCATAAATTCGACTCCTTGAATGTCTGTATTTGATCTTGATTTGGAATGGACGTCTTTTCCTGAAACAGACTACTAAATATAATCGAAGGATAAAGTTTGGAATGATCAATAGAAAAAAATGTATTATGTAAGAAACAGATTTTTTTTATTATAAAAGATTTGGTTGCCCCTTAAGACGATCTGTTCTGAAACATAGTCTCTCCACTCTTTTCTAAAATTTAACTTTTGTATCTTTGTTACGTCTCTTATTGATATGGAGCGTTCGCAATACAATTTAACTTTAATCCACAAATAATTCATTGAATTTAACATTAATGAGCTTATATGGATTGATTTACCTATCTAAATGTTCATTTTTCACACTGGCTGACTCTTTTTTTCTCTCTCTACCTCTTCCTGCTTTCTTTTCTTCTTTATCGCTCCTTTCTTCCTCTCTCTCTCTCTCTCTCTCTCTCTCTCACTCTCTCTCCAGTAGTCTTAATGATATGGAGCATTCGCAATAGAATTTAACTTTAATCCACAAATAATTCATTGAATTTAACATTAATGAGCTAAGATGGATTGAGCTTATCTAAATGTTCATTTTTCTCACTGGCTGGCTCTTTTTTCTCTCTCTACCTCTTCCTGCTTTCTTTTCTTCTTTATCGCTCCTTTTTTTCTCTCTCTCTCTCTCTCTCTCTCTCCAGTAGTCTTATTGATATGGAGCGTTCGCAATACAATTTAACTTTAGTCCGCAAATAATTCATTGAATTTAACATTAATGAGCTAAGATGGGTTGAGTTTACTTCATACTTTTTCAAAAAAAAATGCCAAGTGAATAATAATTTTTCTTACTCTCATATTTATTCTCTTTCATCGAATTTCATAGTACGAAACTGAATTTAATTTCGTCTGAAATAACTTTTATAATTCAGATTTTTAATTTTTAATCTTTTTTATATTAAGTGAAACAAAATTGATATAAAAAAAATTTCTATTAATTAAAAGAAAAAAATCAAAAGCAATTCAAAATAATTCTGTCAAATAAATCTTTAATCTTTTAAAGGGTTAACCACAGCACTTACTATGTATAGTATAAATTAATATATATTAAAAATAGCAATTAACTTTACGTATTTAGCACTATTTAAAGTAAATATTTATTTAAATATATTCACTAATTAAACATATATATATATTTACATATACAAATATATATATATATATATAAAAATATATATATAACTAACTAGATATATATATAATATGTAATCGCTTTACTACTCGTAGTGTAGTGTTGTTTGATTGTAGTTGGCATCTCATCTTAAATAGATACAAAATAAAATACATTAAATAAATACGATTAATAGTAATAATTATTTAATATATAGAAAAAATTAATTTTCATAATAAATACATACAATTTAAACACGCTTTTAGCTGTTTAATTTTAAATTATTTAAAAATTTTTTATTTGATTTTATTAATTATTAGCTTTATAGCTTTTTTGCGAAATTTTATTGCACATTTTATTTGCTATAACAAAAAATTCATTATTTTATTTAAACAAAATAATATTATTATAAATGTATGAAAATATCTAGCGAAATGTTGGTCTAAAGGCTTTGAATCAAAATTTAAAAACCACAACAAATTTTATTTAATATGAAATATATTTTTTAAATGAAACAAAAGATAAAGAGAATTCAAAAGATAAAAGTGAAAATTATCAAAACGGAAAAACGGAAAAACGGAAAAACGGAAAAACTTTATATATACAAATTAATAT